TCACATGGACGCCTTTGTGGAGGGGTCTGACCTTCCCCTGCACTGTTTTAAACAGAGGATGCAGAAGAGTCCAAAAATGATGTTTCCAGGCCCCTGGGTCTGGAGGAGGTGAATTCTTGACCTAAGACAACGCCAGTGGCAATGGAAAAATTGAGTTTAAAGATTTTATTTATTTATTTTTTAAAGTCATGGGAAGGGAGGGAGAAAGAGAGGGAGAGAAACACCGATTGCCTGCCTCTCACAGAGACTGAACCCCCCCGCCCCCCCAAGCAACCCAGGCATGTGCCTTGACTGGGAGTTGAACCAGCTATTTTACACTTTGCATAAAATGCCCAAACAACTGAGCCACACAGGTCAGGATGGGAAAATTGAGTTTAAAGAAGAGTACGGAATCCAGTGGAGTGGCAGGATTTGGGGACTTTGAGGGATAGCTTCGAAGAACAACTGAGATAATAGTTGTGAGAGCCCGCTGTTTGAACACTAATATCTTATAATGAGGTATCCTCACTGCGATTCTAAACCTGAGTAATGAGGCTCGATGCTTCCATGTAGCAGAATTATCCCGCCTGTTGGGCCAGATGACAGTGTGGTGGTGGCAGCACCCACCGTACCAAGAGGACGTGGCCTTATTGTACTTCACACTTCTCAGCCTCCGTCCTGTCTCTGTCCCTGCCTGTCAGTCCTGGACTTATACAACTTTGTGTTTTTGTAGTAAACAATAAGCATTCCATGAACTAGCTTTTACAACCAGTAGCTCAAAATAGCAGACTGCTGGTAGAGGATTTTGAAGCCAGAATATGGACTCCATGCCATCACAGAAGACTTCCCAGGAGAAACAGACACCCAGATCAGCTGAGCCTCGTCCGAAAGCAAGTTGGAGAGAGACCTATGAGCAGGTGTTGTGGAAAACATTATTTCAGGGTATGAATCAGTGGTTACACTTGTTGACAGGCACTAGAAAGAAATGAATGACCCAGGATACTTGTAACTCAAAGAAAATTCCTTCGAAAAAGTCTCCGAGTTCCAAGATGCTCCCATAATCCTTTACTCAACCAGCCCCTCTCAGAACCAGGGCCTCTCTGCTTCTTCAAGAACTGTCTCATTTTAGGGTCAGAAATTTTTGTCTTACCAGTAAGCAGTCTTGTTACACACCTCATCCATAAATCTTTTTATTGCATGAGGTGGTATCCGTAACTGTGATAGTCCTGAGACCACTGTTATACCACGGGCAGCGTGATTTGGTTGGGAAGAAGCACTAAATTGCTTGCTTTGAATACTTGAAGTATCGCTCACATCCTGGGTCAGTCTTACTTGTCCTGGCCTAGAGCTATGGCCGTTTCCATAGAGATGGCAAGGCCTGTGCCTTTCCTTACATCTTAGCTCCTTCGTGGTGATGTTCTCTCTCCATTAATGCTATTTATCTCATATTCCATACCTATAAGCCCATCATGGACAAAGTGGTTGTCAATATGGGGTGCCGGCAGGGGTTAGGGAACGCCCCTGTTCCTTCAGGGCACCCCCTTTTCACCCCCTTTTCTGTGTCTCGGAGCTTAATGGGAATGTAGATTCACAGTGACAGTGGAGTGAGGGAGAATGGAGAACAGGTGAGAAGGACAATCCTGTAATGGGACAGCCAGCTTATCGGTGACCAAGTTTGCCCCTGGCTGCACACTTGTTTCTCGTATAAGGTACTTGTATGCTGACACCCAAGGGTACAGAATAATTCCTCTGGTCCCCCTTTCTGCTTGCCATGGAGGTCAACTCAAGCTTATTCCCAGAAAGAATCTCCTAATTTTCTGTATGATTACAATAAAATGCTCCACGAATAAAACAGACTTTTCAAAGATCAGTCTCCCTTACTAGAGTTATCAAGGTAGATTTTGGGGTTTGCTTCCAGTCTGGCTGATGCTTCTCAGGTGGGGAGAAAATAATATTCTCTCTCTTTTAAATAAAAAGTCCCTGTGGGTGGCTGAATATTAGTGTTCCATTGTTTTACTTTTCGATTCACCCTTTATTTGAAATTCTTCCTGTTTATTTTAATTATTTATTTGTTTCGGGGTACCCAAATTCTCTTCTAACCATCTCAGAGGAACTACTTCTGACAAAGCTTTAACCAATGCTACTGTTTATTACATTTAAATTTCCCATCTAATGACTCGGCAAGACCAGCGTTGACGAGTTCATATTATGTTCCACAGGAGGAAAAAAAATATATTTCCAAGTGTTATACTGAAGCAGAATCTCTTAACTGTATATGCAAAATAGTCTTTGCTCTTGAAATACAAATCAAATTGGGATGAACAATAGAAGCAGCGACACAAAGGGACTTTCAGGTGACCTGTAATATGAGTCACTGCTTGGCCACTGACTTCGCAAGAAGAGTCACTGCGGTAAAAACTACCTGTGTACATAATTATCATGGTTATGAAAGTATTTAGCAAACACACGACTGGATTTCTGTCCCTTCTAATAAATATCAGTTAGAAACATGGCATTAAAATTCTTTAATGGTTTTCCAGACTTGTGGATGGAATTTCATTGGTAAAGGGGTTTAAAGAGAACAAAAGTCTCTGATCTAATTCACTCTAAATTTAATTCAACACTTTCCTTTTACTTACTAGATATGATCTTCAAGTTTAAAATATTTTATATCTGTATACATATTATGGGGATGTGATTAATTATCTCTAAGTCATGTAAATCCCAGCAAGATGCTTGGTCAAATTATTTCATCTTACTCATGACCCTTTTATCTCACCAATTTTGCTTGGTTTCCTTTTTTCTTTTTTTATTCTTGCCCTAGGACTTTTTTTTTCTTCATTGCTTTTAGAGAGAGAGGAAGGGAGAGAGAGAAACTAATGGGAGAGAGAAGCATTGATTGGTTTCCTTCTGTATGTGCCTGGACTGGCCCAAGGTCTGGACCTGCAACCCAGGTATGTCCCCTGACTGGGAAACAAACACCCAACCTCTCGGTTACAGGATGACACTCCAACCAAGCCACACGGGCCAGGCCGATGGCTTGCTTTCTGATTTAGCTGTGTAGAGATTAAATCAATGCACTCCTACTGCAATGGCTAGGACTGCTTTGAAACTATGTAATTACAAACCTCAATTGCGGATCGTGAATTGTACTCACTGTCATAAATGCCATTAGCATGGTCTCAAATTCTTTCAGAACAGGGGGGTAAAAATGTCTTGTAAATAAGTTGCACCGCTCTATGTCTGCTATTGATTACATGCAGCAATTATAGACTTGAATGGGCTCCCAAACAAGATACTGAACCTGGGAAAATGCCAATGTTTTGCGGATCTAAAGGAATTTTAAAGAATTTTTATTTTAAATCTGTGGATTAAAGAATTAGTGTAAGATTTTAAAATCATGCAATTGCAGGCTGACTTTTATACATGGGTACAGACCTAATCTGTTGCAGAAGTATTTTGGAGTTATTTACTCTAAATTTTAATACTCCCTACAGAGTGAATTTAAAATACTTGATGAAGACATTCTGAAGCCTGATTTGACCATTTCTGTTCTATGCATTCCCAGTGCCCCACAGCCCCTCCCTCACAACGAACCTCTTCCCTGCTACGTCATCAGAATCAGGACAGAGGAGGCCCATTTAACGTTGATGTAAAGTCTTTCTCATCCAGGAAGCTCACCCTGCAGACACTTGGGTCACATAGTTTCCAGTTTTACACATCAAAAAAGTCTTTGTGATTTAAAGAAAAAAAAAAAAGGGCTCACCGCTTTCTCTTTTAATGTTAAGTGTTTGTAATCCCCATGTAGGTAGGTTTCTGTGGAGTAAGTCTTTGGTATGTGGAAACCCATGTCTCAAATGATAAACCCTAGTATTCCGCTGGCATCCCCACTTGATTCACTAATTTAAGTCCATTTTAGCCATTTTCATCAAATTTCTTTGCTAAATCTCTTTAGACAACCAATGTGGTTTGCTATTTTATAAACTACAAATTTGAGAGAAACAGAAAACTGCCTCTCTATGTACCTATAACAAATTTAGAAGCTCCAATCAAGCTCTTGTTTATAATTATCTAAAAAAAATATATACTCTTTGATCATTATAATTTCCCTGCTATGCATTTCTGAATGTTTATAAATGAACTGAATAGCAGTGGGAAAAGATCCCAGTGGCCCTTAACAACTACAATAACTCTCTGTAATTTGCTGAAAGCAAGTGGTATTCATTTACTCTCTTTCTTGAAGTTCATGACAAAAGCAAACAGGTAGATTTTTGTTAAGAATCTTCAGGTTGTTCGATCTAAAGGCTTTGAAACTTGATAAATGCATACGTCAGACTAAAGAAATAAGCTTTTGAAACAAAGGCATGGGAAAAGAAGCTGGCTTTGCACAAACTCCGAGTTCAGTCCTTCTGTTTGAGTATTTTCAGACAATCGTTAGTAAGGTTCACAAGGAGACTGAAGAGAGTGATTACTAGCATTGTGACTTACGTATGAACATGCAGAGAAGTAAAAAGCGAACTTAGGAATAATGAAAGGGCACCTCTCCTTCCCTTCCTGGAATTTGGTCAGTAAATAGGGATACTCAGCTAACTGGTTCCCCTCTGGGTATTGCTGGTTTCTAGAAATGTTCTCCCTGCAGCTTCCCAAGAGTAGTTGTTAGTACACTGTGTGGCAAATGATTAATTCTGTTACCTGGGATTTTGCATGCTTGCTTTTAAATATGATGGGCTTCAGTCTTGCAATGGAAAAAAGTACAAAAGTCACCTTAAGTCTTACAGTGCAACAATTTTAATAGTCCACACTAAAATAGGCAGGGCAGTTTTGTAGGTCAACATTAAAAGCAATCCTGCCTCACTTGACATGCTTCTACTTAGAATGTCTCCAGCTCTCTCCCATCCCCTCCCTCAAGGTGTAAGCCTACAGCAGTACGTCTACAGTGCATCTCCCAGGCATTAAAAACAGCGCTGCGATCACTCTCCAACAGCGAGTTCTCAGCCAGGGCCCGGCTTCCTCTGGAGGGGCTGCCCCAGGCCAGGTGAGCTGCGCTCTCACTCCCGCAAGTGACTCAAGGGGTGGAGGCCACAAAACAGCTTTCTGAAGATAATAATAATGCCAACTTCCTCTGTGGCGGGTGTCTTCTCTTACCCCAGATAAATATTTCATGTATCCTTGAGTCGTGAAATATTAACAACTCAATTGACACTTCCATTTCCAGGGAAATAGAATCGGGCGGCCTGGTGTGGCTATTCTGAATCTGTGGGACGAGACACCAAGTGCTGGGGCAGGCCAGAATTCTTGGGTTTGGAACTGGGGGTTGGGGAGGTGTGGGGAGAAGAGAGAGAGTCAGCTCTGGCTACTGCTTGTCGTCCTGGGGGTCACCAGGGAAGCCGGCCTCCTCCTGGGATCTGACTCCCTCCGGGAGCAGAGTGGCGCGAACTTTCCTCTTCTCCTTAAAGCGCCCAGAGCGCGAGATCTTCAAATTGCGGCGGCTGTGGCACGATTTCTCCGCGTACAACTTGTCTGATTTGTGGGGCTCGCCCGCGCTAGAGAGGAGATTGGGGTGCTGATTCTCCTGGGAGCTGCTAGTCCAGCCCGGGCTTGGCGGTGCGGGCTGCCCGGATGGCGCTGGCGGCGCGGACGGTGCAGGCTCCCCCGCGACAGCCTGGGCTGGAGGCTGCATCCCCACTGTGGCATCCTTGCTTTTCTTCCTGCTGTTCGTTAGTGATTTCCACCAGGGGCTGGAGCTGCCTGTGGCGCTGCTGTCGGCCATGGCCCACCGCCGAGGGCCCGGGGTGCCACGCGTGGGAAGGGCTTCGGCCGCAGCGGTCTCCCTGTCTCGGTGGTCTCCGGCGTCCACTCCGCTCCTTCTTCCGCTTCACGCAACCGGGCAGCGCGGTGGGATCGAGGCAGCGATCTGTGCTGGGGAAGAAAACAGAAGTTCTTTACTGGGTTTGTCGAAGTCATGCCCCTGATCCCTCAATCCCATTTCCTCCCCTTTGCGCGGATCCGCCGGGGTTTTAGCGCTCGGAGCCGGAACCCAGAGATGCGCAGATCTCAATAGGCACCGCCGCGCCCTGCAAGGGCACAGGCCAGCCGACCAGTGGCCGCCAGGGCGCCACCACCTGGCGACGATACCGCGCCTTGGCACTCCTTGGCCTCAACTGGCGGCAGTACGGCAGTGGTCAGCGCGCGGGGGCCACCCGGGGGATGTTCCAAGGCATTTGGAATAACTGGATCTGAGAGGGAAAATGTCCTGTCCTGTCACTAGGCCTGGTTGTAGACGGATGACCCAAGGTGACCCACCCGGTCCAGAACGGCACCTGGACCTTTGATGGGCACCGGGGAGGAGGGGGCCCAGAAGCAAGTGCGCCCCTGCTGTAGGTAAACATTGAATATTAGACCCCTGTCAGAGGTTTGTGCTCCATGGACTTCTGTCCCAGGATCCTTTTCAATGTGATTCTTCAGGGTAATTTACAACCCGGGTGGAATGAGGGACAAGCTCATGGTGTTTTATGTGGTTTCTTTTAAACCTGCTTTTACCAACTGAAAAAAAATTTCTGCTTTAGAGGTAACTTCTGCCATGTTACGTCTAAATGTCATTTTCAGAGGAGTAGGACTGGTCTTGTCTTCCCCTGAAACCCTCCAGTCTGCTCTTCCTTTTATTCCCCAATCCGAAGAGACCAATCTTGGGTCTCTTCGAAGCCACCCCTGGACGGTGGTTGAGATGAGGCCAAGGGGCAAATGTCCTCTCCCCTTAGTTCTGTATTAAAATATGCCCCAACTCTGTTTATACTAGGCAACGCAAGTCTGAGGAATTTTAGTTACAAATTAAAGGCTTCTGTTCTTTTCCTTGCGCAATTCCCTCCTGCAGGGAGGAAGCTCCCAGGAACGCCAAACCTATTCGCTTCTTCCCGGCTTTAAAAAGCGCAGTCTGCGGAGCGACAAGGACGTTATCTGCATTTGGAGTGCTAATAATCTCCAAAGCCAGAGTCCTCGGCCCACTGCGCGTGCTGAGTCTGTCGGGCACTAACTCCACGAATGCACGGGGTTCACTAGCGCCCCGGCTCATTTCCAGCTTTCCGCCGGGCTCCTTCCCATCCCACGCTCCCGGCGCTCCCGGGATTTGCCTGTGCGCTGCGAAACTTCAGCCAACTTTTGTTGAAGGTTGTGGTCCCGGAACCCGGGAGAAAAAGTCTGAGCGCCTACGCGAGGCAGCCTGTCGGCCTTTGCTGGGAGCAGAGACCGTGGCACCGCCTCCTCCTCAGGACACCCGGAGGGCACACTCCTGCAGCGATTTGAAAACAATAGGAAAAAAAATGGCCAAAAGTTCTTTCCGTACCCACACCCTCAGGCAGTTTGCCGTTGGCTGTGCAAACATCCTGCTCCCTCTACAGATCGGAAAAGCACCCCCAAATTATTCACTGGTGGTGCTGGTGGGGTGCCCTGATGCTACGTTCTGTCTTCTCCCCTACACTTCTCTGCAGTCAGCTTGTGTGCACAGAAGGCCTTTGCACGAATCTCTCAAGGAAAAGTTTGCAAATTACTCAAAGCTCACAGAGCGCCTACGGCTGGCAACTTCTCCTGGGCGTGCCGCGGAAGCCCCCCAGGGTGACACCCCTAAACAGGCTCCGTCTGGGCGGAGGCAGAACCAACCTGATCTCTCACCTGATAGCGCTCCGCGGATCCCCGCCGCTCTCGCCAGCGACAATGCGAACGGGGTGCGCTTGGGACAACCGGGAAGCCGGCGCAGTGTCACTGTGCGCGGTCCTGGGATCCTGAGGAGGTCGGCTTCTTTCTGGAAGGTATGCTAGCAGCCCGGCTAAAGCCGATAGCTGCTGGCGGTGTCCAACTTCTGCCGGCTGCAGCGGCCCGGGCTCGCAGTGCAGTGGGCTCCGGCCGAGGGTCTAGGCTCGCTGTCCCAGGTGAAGGCACAGGCTGTTCTCTCGGTTAGTAGCCGTTCATTCTCTGCGTGTCCCTCTTCCCTGCAAGCACCGCCAGGGAGCCTAGGGGAAATGGGATCTTGGCCGCTCACTTTGATGCTTTGACTCTTCCTACGCGTCAGTCCTCCGCGCGGGAAAAGACATCTGCCCACCTGCTGGTCATTGGCCAAGTGATTGGAGAAACCTGAGCCCGGGTCAGCGCGGAGGGGTGGGGGGACCCAGGAGGCGGCCACCACTGCCACAGGTGCAGGTAGGAACTTTGCGTTTCCGCCCTCCAAGGGACGAGATTGGACCAGGTCGCAGGCGTGGCGCCAGCCTTGGAGTGTCTGATTGGAGAAAGGTTGTGCTTCGCTGTCCGCCGGTACGACTCCTTCTCTAAGAAACGGTGGAAGGGACCGGAGGCCGGGAGTCCGCGGCTGTAGGTGGGCTCCAGCAGATTAATGACACTGCAGCTCTCCTTCGGCCCCTACCCTGATCTCGTTTCCCCCTTCCCCTCCGGGTCCCCAACCATGGCCACTCGGCGGTGATCGCAAGTTTCGTTAACTCACTGGAGCTGTTTCCTATCGAGGCTAAATGTTGCAGCCTAAAGCGCTCTTAGTTGAAAGGCCGTGATGTTAACAGGTCCGCTGTGTGCCAGCAGGCGCTGATCCAAGCGCTTCTGTGGATTAACTCACTTATTACTCACAGCAACCCTAGGAGGTAGGTACTGTTAATGTCCTCACTTGACTGGCAAGGAGACCCTAGCCCGAGAAGGTTCAGTGGTTGCCCGGGGTTGCAAGGCTGGTAAGAGGCAGAGCTCGACCTGAACCCAGGCAGTGTGACTCCGGCCAGCTCCCGGGTCCGAACCAGCGCGTCACACCGCAACCTGCCTGCCTTGGGCTCCTAACATGACTAACTGAGGATGTAACTTGCCTCAGGTCTCTCCCAGAGCACAACCACCCCCCGGAATGTACAGATGTACAGATCCAGCCCAGAGCCGCTGCACTGAATTACGTCAAAGGTCAGGAGGCTTTAGGGCATTTTCGCTAAGGACGGCAGACGTGCAGTCTGCTTCGTCTTCCAGAACGCTCTGTTTTTTCAAAGAGCTATTTTTATGGACCTTGAGCTCATGTATAATTCCTCTGAAGGCTGAGTATGGAGCAACCGATGGCTGAGCATCTCTGTTCTGGGGACTTCCTGAAGTATAAAGTAGTGAAAGACATAGGATTGGTAGAAAGAAATGTGTACAGAGTATTTCAATGCATGAACTACGGAAAAAATACAAATACTTTATATCGTTAACTACATAGTTTAGCATTCTTGGGTTTTTGGATGACACGCACAGCAGGGTGTATTTGAGAGTGATGCATTTTCATATATTATTCAGATTCATTTTAGGGAGTAAATGTTCCAATCTGACTCCAGAACTGAACAGACAGGGCACCGGCTGTGAGGAAGGACAGGCCATCTCGTTGCAGATGAAGATGGCGGACCAAGGAGGAAGGCCGTCATCACAGGTATTATCACTCTAGGAACTTGTGGAGCTGGGTGGATGCATTGCTGATCTAATGGCTAAAAGAATGAAGACCTTCAGGGAAAAAAATTAGTATTGCCAAATGGCTGGTTCCTCATCTAGCGAGATTTACCAAAGGGGCCAACGTTTTCTTCATAAACGATCATCTGCTAATTGCTGAAATAAAAAATTCATTCTTTCCCATCCCTCCTATTTATATCAAACAACTGTGATATCTCTGTTATGTGCCATTAACCTAATGATAACACCTTCCAAATAAGCCTTGCATGCAATACAATTTAAATGGTGACATGAAAGCCAAGAAAAATTAGGCACAGGGGTGTAGGGAGGTAGAGAACGTGGGAGCCCTGAGAGGGAGGGACTAGCGCGCCAGGTGACTGGAGGTGTGCAGGAGCTTAGGGTCTCTAAGGCCAGTGTCGGCTGAGCGCAGAGGGAGCTGAAGCTCTGCAGGAAATGAGGCTGGATAGGGGGGTGCTGTGGCCAGACCATTCGGGACCTTGTCAGTCCTGGTAAGAGGTTTTAACATAACCCACTGAAGAGGGAGTGACAGGATAAGATTTGCTTTTGAAATATCACTGTAGCCACCCAGAGTGGGTGGCAGAAGGGACAAAATGGGGCTATAGGGAAACCTGGCAGGAGTTGTTGAAGTAGGTTAGGTGGGGTATTTCTTTCTTTCTTTTTTTTTTTTAACTTTACCCTTTCTTAAGATCTCAGCAAGCAAATGGATACTTTCTTTTTAAGAGATTTTATTTCTTTATTTTTAAAGAGAAGGGAAGGGAGGGAGAGAGGAAGAGAAATATCAATGTGTGGTTGCCTCTTGTGTGCCCCTTTCTGGGGACCTGGCGCACACCCCAGCATGTGCCCTGACTGGGAATCGAACCAGCAACTGTTTGGTTTGCAGGCTGGCACTCAATCCACTGAGCCACACCAGCCAGGGTGGCTATTTCGATAGCTTGTATTAGAGTGGTGTCACTAGTGAAATGAAGAGAATTGGATGTATGCAAAAGAAATTTTGGAAGTAGAAACTGTAGGACAGTATTTTATTTACTTCATATAAATGAAGAGCCTGACTTAAACTAGAGGTTTAAAAGGGAGATACCTTCATAGCCTTCCTTGTATCCAGGAGCATCCACGTGCTCCAGTTCTGACTTATGGGGCTATAAAGAAGACTTCTTGAAATTTTCTTGCCTGCATAAAAGACAGAACCTCCTGAGAGAAGAACATCTTTTGCTATACCCTTGATTCTTACATTTAAGCCCAGGGTGAGCGTGCAATGTCTGGTGGTGCTGCTGCCATCTTGCACCTGGGAGGCAACGGGCATGGGAATAAAAACCTATATGCCAAGGATGATGGAATGGGAGTGGAAGTGTCTGGGTCCTTGGCGATACCAATGAGCACCCAAAAGGACCCTGGAGCCAACTCTCTCGACAGTGCTAGATCAGTGAGACAAAATGCATTTCTATGGTTGACAGATTTAAACACAGTTTTCTGTTACTCTAACAAAAAAAAGGATTCTTTCTTAACACAGTCTGAATATAGCAAAAAAAAAAAAAAAAAAGGTGATACTTCTCAAGTGGGAAAAAAATGTCATGTCATCTTTTTATCTGACCAATCTAAAAAGTTCTTCATGGAAGGAGGATTTAGTGAAGTGTTCGAGTTATAAGGAAGTTTTAGATGCAGGGAATGTGTCTGTACAATAAGGGGCAGAGTTAAAGGAATACGTAGACGAAAGTATGGGGGCAGTGCATGGATCAACATGCCTGGTGAGTCCAAAAGGAGAGAACCATCAGCTTATCTGAGATATCATAGTAATTTGACTTTTAAAGGCAGAGATTTAAGTCAAAACTGTTAAGACTATTTTTCTTTATTTTTTAAATCTAGAAAAATTTTACTCTAAAAATTTTCATAACCACCCCCATGTGAAAAAAAAAGAACACCCCAAAAGCAAAAAGCAACCTTGCACAAAGAGGGTTAGTGTTCGACAAATGTAGCTGTCTTCTGTCTCTTCTTGTCTGCACTTCTGGGTTGGCAAGCTGGATGTCATACAGTGTAGACATTACAGTTGGTTCGCCTACTCAGCGAGTAGTAGGTGACTTTTCATGTTCCAGATTTGCTTATACTGGGCAATGCTTACGTTTCTTAATACTATTTCATCTTGTCATTTTCTATCTTTCAAATATGTACTGATGGTTTGAGTAAAGACACTTTCCTTCTTTTTCTTTTTTTTCCTAACTTAAATTGCTTCTTTCTCGGGTGAACCTTCAAGTGTAATAAATGATTACACTCAAAGACAATATAGAATGAATTTCTAGAGAGTGGGATTTGCATACTAGAAATTAAAATAAAAACTTTAGACATTATATTTGGCATTTGCAATGCTAGGAAACCTAGTATTGCATAACCGTGATTAATATTTGGGGGTTAGTCTTTTTATTCTTTTTGCCCCTATTTGCATATTTACCCCTTTCACTATTGCCTGCCCCTTCCTTTCCCTTTCTTTACCTCTTTCTTTTCTGGACTCTTCCATTCTTTGAAAATTGGATAAGTATCTCCCATGGCCGTTTCTTTTATAGTCACCAATGTACTGTTAGTTTGACATTTCTTCTCTCCTTTCTGTATATTCACATCAGTGTTGTTGGACTTAGTTAATAAAATTTATTTTTTATTGAGATAGCATTGGCTAATAATATATAAGTTTTAGCACCCATGCCTGAAGTTGGAATCTGTTTTTTGTAGCACCTCATCTTGTACCATGTCAGGTTAACATGAATGCATATCTAGAAGTACAAAAATCATAGTCACAAAATATTACTAATCATTTCAGTTTTACACTTGACTTAAGCCAAGCTGATCTGTCTAGTGGAGCCTCTCCCTGAAATTCAGCAACACCAGCTGACTCTTCCTAACTCCCTATTCCTACTCCCTCTGTGGGCTTGTGTCTTGGTATTCTTCGATATTGTTGCATGCGTCTCATTTTTCTTAAAAATTACTTGTAGGAAAATCTGAGGCCTAAGACAAAGGTAATTTGATCTCAAAAATATTTTCAAAAGCTTAGGGATACTACCAGGCAGGACTATGCAATACAAGTTCATGGCTGGAGGGTGTTTTTGGACAATGGAAACAAGAGACCCATGCGCGTATCTGCCTATTGTCACAGCCTCTGCAGACAAGTCCATTTGTTCTTTCCTGTTCTGCCCCTAACCTCTTCTGTTCCCAAGTAACCTATCTGTGCAGACGCTGGGGGCGGAGCATGGGCGTACCTTACTTCTGGGCTGACCTTGAGGGTCTGACCCTTTGGGGCCTATGCTGAACAAGAGAAGTATCTTCTGTTCATCACTCTATTGGGGTGAACCCTCAGCTTAAAATTCTGTCCCTTTTGCTCTATCTAGTAGGCTAGCAAAACTGAAGTTGTTCTGGTGCCCAATTGTTTTCAGAAGGAGATTTCCTCCACATAATTTAGCCTGCCACTGATAGGAACAGGTAGGTTTTATATTATAAATTGTTTGCTTGGTGTGATGTTTGTCCAACTAACTAGACTACAGTTTTCTATTTATTTGTTACACAGCACTTCCTATGTACCATGTACAGTTCTAATTGATTTATAAATATTAACTCATTTAATCCCCTTAAATGCCCCCTGACATAGGCACTAGTCTTACTACAGATGAGGTCATTGA